ATGGTAATTTAAACTACAATTATTACCTCAACTTTGACCAAGTCACCAAACACATTCACTGAAACACGATTTAGATGAATGCATAGAATCTACAAGGTGAAATATGAGTATGATTAGTGATTGGTAAAAAAGAAACTACATAAAATAACATAGAAAATTAAAATATCATCAACCATCACTTTGTTTTTGAACAATTACACAACTTTAATTAAAAAAAAAAAGTTCTATGTACTTTAAGGTCGGATATTCAAGTCAACGGTTAATGAGCATGATGTATCCTTCTAGTACTTTAAAAAATTCGAAACTTTCAATTTTGTGTTTAATAATTCGTTACATTAACTTTATTAATTTAATGTTTACGTGACATGTCAAGTATTTAAGAATTATGCCTCAAATCATCTGGTCACATCATTCAAGTATTAAATGAAGTAACAATAGGTACACAAAATTGAAAACTTTACGGCCATTACCCCTGAAAGTTAGGAAAAATTATTAGAAACTTGTTGAATAGATATAACTCTGAAAGTTCAGTAACGATACCTTCGGGCAACGAGCAATGGTGAGTTGTGTTAGAGTGCACGAAGGCTTATTCCACCATAGAAGTTTAGGAAAATGAAGAAACTTTGCAAGGAAAATATCATGCCATTGCCAACGCTGCCACCATAGAGGTTTATAGACGTAACTTTGAAAGTTCAATAACGATACCTTAGGGCAACGAGCAATGGTGAGTTGTATTAGAGTGCAAGAAGGCTTATTCCACCATAGAAATTTAGCAAAATGAAGAAGCTTTGCAAGGAAAATATCATGCCATTGCCAACGCTGCCACCATAGAGGTTTATAGACGTAACTTTGAAAGTTCAATAACGATACCTTAGGGCAACGAGCAATGGTGAGTTGTATTAGAGTGCAAGAAGGCTTATTCCACCATAGAAATTTAGCAAAATGAAGAAGCTTTGCAAGGGAAATAGAATAATGCCATTGCCAAAGCTTCCACCATTGAAGGAAAATAGAATGCCATTGCCAAAGCTTCCACCATTGAAGGAAAATATCAAGCCATTGCCAAAGCTTCCACCATAGAAGGGAAATATCAGGCCATTGCCAACGCCAATTATAGCCGCAATGATAATTCTCGATCTGTTCGACATCAAAAAATTAAAACTGAAATTTCAAAATGATTGAGATGAAAAACACTTGCATTTATTTTTTATCACGTATAATTTTAAGCAAGTAAGGTAAAATGTTTTGTTTATATCTAATATATTGAGAGGGAACATTTCTTTATTTTTTTTTTTTTGGGAAATCAAAACGGAGAAATGCAAAACATTGATATAGAGATTTTTCTAAAAAAAAATTATTATATGGTAAAAAGGGTAATTTATTTTGTAATTGCATCAACCTTGGATCTTCACAGTTCATAGGGCAAATATTTATATTCCTCTATTTAATTTGTTCCGCAATGATGTAAGATATTTAAGTATATGTCCACTATATAAAATATAACCATGTCTATAGACTATACAGATTGCAAATGAAGGAGATGAGAATGACAATGCTCACAATTGATTGAGATGGAGGGAGACTTCATTAATCCAAATGATGATAAATTTATGGAAAGAAAATTGCCAACATATAAAGAATATTATAAAAATTATTAATTTTTGACATGTTAATAGTAAAATTAAGTGCAACATAAACCATCATCAAATATGATAATTGTTGCAGTTTCATCACAAACTTTCAAGGGTAAGAATTAAACCCTCAAATTTTTATAAGTGAGAAAATTGCAGCCCAATACTGCTGACTTCATTTCTTCGTCGACAAAACATCTTTTGGCTCCAACGCTTGAGAGCAAATATAGAAGACATGTTTGTATTGTCCATAGCCACCATTAATTTCATTCGCCCTTATGTTTACTGATAAAAAGGTTGGTGCTTCTTCCAAACAAATTATTAGATTAGTACGACAATTCTAGATGGAGGGGTAAAAGGATTTAATAAAGATTTAATAAATTTTTTCTCACAAAATTGGCCCATCAAATAAAAGTGTTTTTTACCACACAAATAATTTTATTACAAATTAACCAATAAATTATAAAGGCAAACACCGTTAATTATTTCTACCAACAAAAATCAATCGATAAAAATAGGTTTCAATTTATACTCCCAATAAATTTTATGCAATTTATGATAACGAAAATTAATGGTAAAAATTAAAGAATAAAGTGGTAGAGAAAATGACATCGGAAACTTGGTTCGCAAAACCACTCTCAAAGTTCTTTTTTGGTATTTGATTGTAGAACTAAACTCTTTCCACGATTTAGAGTCCAATTGATATTTTTTTTTTTTAGCAATAGCGATCTCAATTTTTCACCATTCAAATCAAACCGTTACAACGCTCATTTTATGAGTTATATTGCAACTATTTAGAAGTTTATTATAAATTTAGGGAAAAAAAATCTCTTTGGATAAACAAAAAGAGAGCAACAAAATTTGTAATATAAATTCTTACGAATTAAAAGCCATCAACTGGCTATACAAAATAAATCGTTGCATGCTAAAAAATTGAGAAATATTATGAGAAATGATTGTTCAATTTTTTTTTCTCAAATATTTTTCGAAACTTTTCCGAGCTTAAAATAGAGGGGGGAACTCACAAACCATGCGTCAGATGCCACGTTGTAGTATTTGATTGGAGGAGGAATGTGAAAATAATAAAAAAATATTCTCTCGAGTTAACTGGTCAAAGAGGAAGTTGAATGGACATGTGGCGTGTTGTTATTCGTGAAAAAATAAGAATATTTGAAATTATCAATAAAATAATAATTTCAAAATCCATCCCTCAAGTAGACTTGTCTTTATCAAAATAACTTCCCTTTCATGATCGATGGTAATTAAAAAATTTATTTTATGAAAGTTTAAATTACTTTAAATTGATTTTTAAGGTATAATAATTATTTTAGAAAATTAATTATACTAAAATTTATTTTTTCAAAATCACTTATTCTATCATGACTCCCCCACACACCCTTTCCTCAAAATTTACGTAGGTTTCTTTTAGTTTTGGACTTGATTGCATTTTTGTATTTTTATTTTATAATTAGAATATACTTTAAATTAATAAAAAGTACTTAAGTTGTTTATATATTACAAATTGATAAATTATTGTTTATATATATATATATATATATATATATATATATGCAATTCTTTTTAAAGGTTAAAAAATGATATCTAAATTATATTAATCAATCATTAACTATTATGACATAAATGTTATAAAAAATACTTTAAAAAAATTAACTATTATGATATAAATATCTTATTAAAAATTAAATTAATATATATATATATATATATATATATATATGTGTGTGTATATAATTGTAGATATTTTATCATTTACTCCATCTCAAAATCTTTTTAATTATTAGTGGTATATATATTTTTTTATTGTTTTAGTTTCCTTAAAATATAACTAAATTGCCGCGGGAATGAGTCGAAGCTAGAAAAATATAAAATTGAAAAGAATGAAATAGTTATAAAAATTTTTACACTCTCAAACTTTCATATTCTGTAATTAAATATAATTATATTTATATTATTATAATGGAAGCAAAATATTTTACCTTCTAACTTTTCACATTCAATTTATTTAATTTTTATGAATTGCATTATCTCATATCACGTTTTTTTTTTTATGAAATTTTAACTACGGTTACGTTTTATTATTTTTAATGTATTAATTAATTCTAAATATTGTAAGTAGTTTCATTATTTTACTTTGAGAAAGTTATTTTACCTAATTTGAAACCATTATTTTTAACTACTTTAATTAATAAAGATTTTTCAAGTTAAGTTTTTGTTCTATATTATATTGAACTTTTCAGGGAGATAAAATTATTTATACCTTTAATTTAATACTATAATTAATTATAAAATAAATTTTATTTAAATTATATTGTTAGGAAATAAAATGACAAAATTTTGATATTTTCCAAGATTCCGCACAAGTTATTAGTGACTTTGTTTTCGATAGAAATAATATGGGCTTATAATTGATCACTACATTACTATTCTTTAAACAAAAATTTTTAAGTCAATATGAGTTTAACTGAACGGTAACTGGTACATCTCTAACCAAGAAATTATGAATTCGAATTTTTTACCCTACTTATTGTACTCAAGAAAAAAGTATAAATAAAAAAACACTCTAATTTTAAATAAAAAATAGGAGTAACAAAAATCCAAGATCCTAATTATACCCTCATCAATAAAGAAAGAATTAGCCCTTTAATCCCTATACTTTCAGTGAATAACAATTTAGACCCTGTAGTTTCAAATTTGTGACAATGAATTTGGTTTTCGACCCTGTATTTTCACATTTGTAACAATTGGTTTTCAAACTGTAGTATAACAATTTAGTCCTAATAGTTTTAAGTTTGTAACGATTGAGTCCCTATTGTGAAAGAAATGGTTAAATTTCTTATACATTTAGATGGATAAATCGATGAAAGACTAAATGTGTTTATAAATTAAAATACGAAATCGTTATAAGATAAAAATCGATACTTAATTTTGACAAAAATTTTTTTTGATAGAAACTAAATCGTTAAAAGTACCATAACTAAAAAGTTTAGTTATAAATTAAAGTTCAAAGACTAAATAGTTAAAAGTACAGAGGGAAATGTGCTTTTTAACTTGTAAATTTTGCGGCGTAAGAACAACTTTTTGGGTCCAACCTTTTAGATTCCATACCTTCATTATTATTGGTAATTAATTATTAATAAAATATTAATAAAATATTAATAAATTAATAGATAATTCATAATATACATATATGTTCTTTATCAGAATTGAACATTTAAATCCACGCCCTAGAATTATCAATACATTAATTAGTTGACTGACACGCGTTAGATTTATTAATATGTTAAGCAGTTGAAAATTGATGTAAAAAATGTATCTTTTTAGGAAAGTACTGATCTTTTAAGAAATGTCTCCAATTCTTATGGACAAATGTGAATCACATGCAGATATCTTCTCGCCCCTCGTTTCTTTTTCCTCCATTGTCGGAGGACGCAAAAACAAAAATCCAGGAATCAACGATTTAGTGAGTCTTCTCTTTCTTCACATCTTTAATTCTTCTTTCCCTTTTTAATTTAGAAATGGAAGCTATGTAAATTATTGATTTTCCCCGTGAGCCTGTTTGGATCACGAGAAAAAGTGGGATAATTTCGGGAAAAACTTTACTATCCCGCTCGACTGTTTAGATTTTTGCAAAATTAATCATATGGGTCTTCAGATTTTGCGAAGTGAATCAGCTGTTTTGTTTCAATTTGTATAAGTCCAAGTTTTGGGTTACTTATTTAGTACCAAAGTTTGTAACAGGGAGCTCTTTGCCTGGGATGTAGCAAATGGGGACTCCAAGAGAATGTTGCCGTTACTTCCTCTACTTCATCTTTTTTCTTCCTGTTTTTTCGTTTCTTTTTACTCTCGGATTTGCTAAAGGTACCTCTCTTTCCTTAGCTTCTTCCATGATGATTTAACTTTCTGGCACAGATTGTTACTGATTTTGAAAAATTATCTGCAGCTGCTGTATTCAGTCCCTTTGTATTTCTGGTGATTGCTTTTGGGGATACTGGTATTGTCATTGGCTTATGGCCCGTTCATCTAATCTGGAGTATCATCTGTATTATAAGGTTATTTTTCCTTGTTTGTTTGTGGGATGTTTAATGGTTGTAGTTTTAACTTACAATATTGGAAAAGAAAATTGATTTTGTGTTATCCAAATTGGAAGCAGAACAAATATGTTTGGCCCATTCATGAAATGCCTTCTGATTTTAATTCTACCGATACCCATAGCAGTATGGACAGTGATTGGTGTTGTTGGAAGTGTGATTATGGGTATTGGTTATGGCTTCGTGTGGCCTGTCATGGAAACGCTTAGAGCTATCAGCCGAGAAGGCATTCCAATTCATATGAGATTGATTCGGTGCTTCACGGTGAATGTTTTGTCATCGATTTTAATTGTAGTTTTGAGTGTTTCGATTCAAGGTTGCTTAATCTAAAGAAGTTATTGGCTTAATAGGATGGAACGTGGAGCAACGTATGGGGAGCGTGCACCATTGTGCGTGATTTTGCAGATTTTTCCTTCCATTCCTACTTCTCCATCATGGATGGGATGGTTGAGTGGCAGGGAGAGGAGCAGATTGACATCAAGTATAGTTCCGTGCAAACACAACCTTTTATGCCTATAACTATTGCTTATATTGCTTCAATATGTATTCGAGCTGATTCTTGCTTTATTTCAATGATCTTCTCAATTGTTGGATTACACCAATCATTCTGCATCTGTATCTGAATTGTTCTTTTTTTCTTTGGGGGTTTTAAGTATAGAATTGAATATATTGTATAGCAGGTGTTGATGCGTGAATCTGGAACAACGTGAGCCTTGTTGACGTCATATTCTCAGCCAAAGAGGTTACTTGCACGGAGAACTTGCACCAGCAGGGTATTGCGTCCAACACACTTCGATACTTAAGTTAGCATTTAAATCTAGGTGATGTTAAGCTGCTCTAGAATTGTGTTGCGTACCTGTTCCTGAATGGGGATTCTGCTATTTATAGAGAATTTAGAGGGCGTGATTTGCCGGCCCCATTGTCCTGCTATTTCCTGATCAAGCCGAGGTGAGGCGTAGGTTGTCTCGTAATCCCGAGCCGAGGTGTTTGATCAGGACTCCGAGGTCCTAGATGGTGGTGTCCACATGGTTGAGCATAACTGAGGTATGTGGGCTTAGCGTTAACCATGTGGTAGGGTGCTTTACTCACCCTTAACATTGCCCATTGTGTCAAGGTCGGTAAAAACTTTAGTGTCACTCTGGAGAGTGCAGTTCGAGGGAGGTCTCGTATGTTGCCGCCAAGTGAGCTAGGGCGTCAACATTCGCATTCTGTGGTTTTGCGATCTACTTGACTTTGCATTTATTGAATGCCTTGAGGTTCCTCATCTTAGCTAGGTAGACTGTCATTCTATCATCCTTGGCTTAGTATTCATTAGTGACTTGGTTGACGATCAGCTGAGAATCGCTGAAGACGATCAGGCATATGACCCTTTCTCCTTTTGCCATCATTAGAACATTGGCCTTCAACTTTTATCTCCATCGTCGTTCGTTGCCAACACTATCCGTCGTCCATTGTTGTCCACCACCATTCGTCGCTGTCAGCGACATGCCACAGTTCGTCGATGTTTTTATCTCACCATCAACTGCTACACCACTGCACACCTCATTGGAAGGCCAAGACAGCTAGGGTATTCTATTATACTTGGTTTGCAAGGCTAGCTTTTCTATTGGGGTGATTTTTTTTTTTAAATGGAGAGTTTATAGTTAACCACACCTTGAAGACAAGGTGTGTTTTAGGGGCGTGCAATGATAGGAATGCTATTAGGATAGAATTGAGAATATTGTTAGGGTATTAAGGGTAAATTAATAATTAGCTAGAAACGTTTTTAGGAGATTTGTTATAAATAGAGTGAGGGGAAAGGATAAGAGTAGACATCGATTTAGTGTAGTTTAGACTTGAGTAAGAATACTTAAGAGAAGGGAGGATCCAAGTACCTCGAATTACTTGTGATTGTTCTATATGTTACATTTCAATATATTTCTATTTGTTTAGGTTCTATCAGAATACCCACCCTTTCGATTGGGGTGGGGTGCAAACAGGCCCGATTGGTAATAAATACCTTGAGCATTGCAAGTTGAGGCTCCATCTCTAATAGGGGAGTCGAGGTTGACCCAACCTTCCCTTTCAAGCTCACCTTCAATCGTTGCCTTTTCATTCCTAGGGTATTGATCGATGGGGTGTTACTTTTGGCAGTTGCCCCTTTCCTGCAAGTGTTCCCCCCACCCCAAAACTGTCAAGGAAGGCCTGCCAACTCTCGATTTTCCACTGGGGTATCTTCTGATCTAGGGTAGAACACTTTTGGTAATACTTTCTTCCCACCTACGATGCAAATTATTGATGCATGATTCTGGCACAGGTGAGCCTTGATGACTCAGTCAAGGAGGTTACCTGCACGAAGAACTTGCACCGGTGGAGTACTGTGCCCAATGAATGCTGAAGTTGTCATTCAGATTGAGGTGATGTTGAGTTGAGCTAGGATTACTCTGTGTTACCTGTTCCCAATAGGGGTTCTGCTATTTATAGGAAATTTGGAGGGCTTGATTTGTAGGCCCCACTATCCTGCTATCTCCTCAAGCCAAGGTGGGGTGTGGCTTGTCCCATAATCCTGAGCCGAGGTGTTTGGTTATGATCCCTTGATCTCGGATGGTGGTGTCCATGTGGCTGAGCATAACCAGGGTATGTGGGCTAGATGTCAGCCACGTGGCTTCCCGAGGGTGCTTTATTCATCCAACAACAGGTAGATTTTCTCTGATGATTAAAGTTGAAACTCGATAGCCAACCATTATTCCTTTAAGCTTCTGGAAACATATTTTATGAATGTGGAAGTTATAATTGACAACTTTATCGTTTCTAAACTCAGATTGATTTCTCCTGTGATTGATAAATATAACATCAGATTTCTCAAATGATGTTTAAGCAATTTGTTGACTTTGTTTCATATTCTTCAATAGACAACTTGGCATATTTTAATCAATTAAGGAAGGATACATTTGTTTCATATTCTTCAATAGAACAACTTGGCATATTTGAATCAATGCCAATGTTGTTTCTGCAGGTTTCTAATTACAGCTTTCCTAATATATGAAATTCATGATTTTCCTTGGTTATTTTATCACAAATATAAGTATATATGTTCTTTTTCTTTTTCCCTTTTTGTATTTTACAGGGTTCACGAGCTAGCTAGTTGCATTTTGGTCGCACTTGTCGGGATTATGGTTGATTTTCCTATTATCACTCTGATCGTTCTGTACAAAGCTCCAATTATGCTGTTCAAGGGGTGGCACCGGCTAATACAAGACCTCATAGGAAGGGAGGGCCCTTTTCTAGAGACAGTTTGTGTTCCTTTCGCTGGATTGTGGATATTACTATGGCCTGTTGCTGTTATAATGGCAACTTTTGCTGGTATAGCCTCCAGCATTGGCTTAGGTCTTTATGGTGTCGTTGTTACATATCAGGTATGTGTTTTTGGTCATAAAACTTTGAGAATTTGTAACGGGTAGCTAAAATATTTGTCCTTTTTTAATTTGCAAATACAACAACAACTTTTGGGTTTGGCAAATATGGCAAAATATTTGAAATTTGATTTTTCGGTTTTTTAGTTATTTCGATTTTATTTTACCCTTCTAGATTTTTAGATATGTCAATGGTATATCAAATCTAGTATATAAATGATATATCGAATATATCATTGTTATATCAATACCCATAATCAATTATATTAATGATATATAAAATCAGGTATATCAGATACGATACATGTATCTGGTAATCACTGTTTGGGCTCCGTGTTCGGGTTTCATGTTTATGAAGGATATATTAGACTTTGGCTATATTCTACATGGATTGGGCCTCCAGATTTTGCTGTTTTTGCAAAATTAGAAAGTGGTTGCTACTTTTACAAATTTGCACTAAATTCTTTGCTACTTTTATGAATGATAAAATCCTGTTTATTTCAAGTTTCTTCTAAAGCCTTTCACCCTATGTTATCAGGAAAGTTCCCTGAAGAGAGGATTGCTTTATGTCATTGCATCTATTTCTTTGTTTGACGAGTACACCAACGATTTATTGTACTTGCGAGAAGGCTCGTGTTTCCCCCGGTACGTAACTTTACTGATTACAGTTCTTAGTTAATTGCTAAACTATTCAGCACCCTTCATTCACTTGGGTTTGCAGACCTAAATATAGCGAGAAGATGGATTATTCAAGTTCATCGCTGGTCCCTGTTAAAGGACTACACGAACATCTCGAACGTATTCGTACAAGTGAACCGTTGATGACTACAGCTGAGCAGAAGAGTGCGGTGAAGGCGGTAGTGGTAAGATAAAGTATTTGATTTGGTTTAGTTAATGTTAGAACTTGAAGTAGCCTAGGAGAGTTTTGTTTTGTTTTTTTTAGGTTTAGATACCACTTTGATCTTTGAATTTGACTTTGGTTCATTTTAGTTACTGAGACTTTCAAAACGTCCATTTTGTCCTTTATACTTTCAATTTTTGTTTATTTTAGCCCCTGTACGTTCGAAACATTAGTTTTGGTGCCTGTACTTTAAAAAAGTGACCATTTTTGTCATTTCATTTCATTTTTTTCTTATTTTATCAAAATTTTAGCATAAAACTTCATTCACTAAATTTCTTAAATGTAGCCAGAAATTTGTATTAAATGGTTTTAATTGTGTATAAAATTTGTGTTAAAATTTTGCAAATAAGAACAAAAATGGTAATTTTTTAAAAGTACAGGAACCAAAATGGATGTTTCGAAAGTACGAAAACTAAAATAAACAAAAGTTGAAAGTACAGGATCAAAATGAACATTTTAAAACTACAGTGATCACGATGAACTAAAACCGAAAATAGAAACACCAAAATAGTATTTAAACCTTTTATATGTGTGTACAACAAGAGGCCTATCAGTTCTCACACTTTTTCAATTGCATTTTTCCTTGATTGTTTCCTGATGTTGATGGAGGTAGATTGCCCTTTAAATTTCTATGGGATTACTTCAATGCTTGTGGCTAACTCATTCATTAAAAATATATTGATGCACTTTGGCTACTTCATTTATGAACAGATTTGGGATAGCTTTTTCAAGGCATGTGAAGAAATTGGGAAAGAGCTGATTAGAGATGAAGCCATTGGGGTTGCAGATCTCGAAGCTTGGCGTCAGGCAAGAAACAAGATAATTCATGTTGGAATTTCTTCTCATGCATTTCTTCAATGCTTTCTTCGTTCGATCAAGAGCGGTTCTGCTGGTTTCCTCATGAGTAAGAATTTTTGTAGTTTCTTTAGTACCACGGAGCATTTTCTGTTTTACTTTATAAATACATCACAATAGCAGTAGTGCAAGGGTTATAAGTAGGGGTGTTCAATATTCCGAGGACTCGAAAAGCTCAGTCAACCTAACCCAACCCACACGGTTAACGGTTTGAGTTGGGTTATAAACTAGTTTGGGTTGGGTTGATTTTAGATAAGTGAAAACTATCTGAGTTAAGTTGGTTAAAGGGTTCCCCTAAAGTAAATTTGAGTTGAATTGACCAAACTTGAACTTATTAGTAATTTTAAAAACCATTTCTTTTACTTGCACAAAATTATAGATAGAATATTTTGTTATACAAAGTGACCCGAATAACCCGAACAAATGCAACCCAAATATTTTATGGTTACTTGGATTGAGTTCATTATTAAATAAGGATCGTTTGGGTTGAATAAATTTAGCATCCGAACAATTTTTTTGGGTCTAAAAAATATTTCAACCCAATCCCATCCAACTTTGTAAGTCAACATTATTATGTGGAAAAAATCCAAATATACTCAAAGATTAGAGATGGAATTGTTCCCGTGTCTTTGTTTTTTCTCTCGGGGTGCTTTCTATTTGCCCTAGCTGTAAGCGATGGAAGCGCCACTACTTGTGTGCTGGACATTTTCCACTAATTAGATGACGCCTTTCAGTCTAAGTGAACGAATGGACCACATAAGTTACCTAGACAAGGAACCCCAATTAGCAACTTTATGCTGTTATTTGTTTCTTTTATTCACTTGTTTTGATTTGACATCAGGTGATAAAATTGTGATAACCAGTGTTAATAGGCCAGAAGGACGGATTTTCGACTGGCTCTACGAGCCATTGTCCATCATGAAAGAGCAAATCAGGTGCCTAAATTTGCAGGAAAGTGAGGAGTTGTACTTGTACAAGTTCTGCTTATACAGTGGTGACACGGCAAGAATCGAGTCGTGGGAGAATGGTGGCATACCTCCTCCCGACGAAATACGAAGGGCGCAATTAGAGGGTATAGGTAGAAGGTATTACCACTCTTCATTACTCTTCATGTTGTGATGTAGGACTTGTTTGATGATATTTTTGTTTGGGAAAGTTATAGTTATTTACTTAACTTTTTTCTCTGTTTTCTACGTTACATCCAAAATTGTTTTAGAAATTATAGCCCATTTCTTAGCCCTTTTGTTTGTTTGTTTTTTTTTTTTCTGAAAATTTCGCTTCTAAATACTAATCACTTCTATTTATATATTTTTTTGTTTTGTTGTTTGCTTTTTAAGAATGGGCTCAAAATGTAAGCCAAATTTTGAAAACTAAAAAAGTAGGTACCGTTTGATAACTAGTTCGATTTTGTTTTTTTTTTTGTTTTAAAAATTAGGTTTGATTTCTACCATTTTTTGGTATGTTTTTCACATTAAACACACGAGTTTTTAGTCAAATTTCAAAAACAAAAACAAGTTTTTAAAAATTACTTTTTTTAGTGTTCAAAATTTAGCTTAGATTTTGAAGATATTTTTGAAAGTAGATACCAAAATAAAAAAAACATGAGTGGAAAGTAATGTATATAGTTTTCAAAAACTTTTTATTGTTTTTTGAAATTTAGCCTAATAACTCAAATGTATCTTGAGATTGATGAAAAAATATTCAAAAAAATTGTAAGAAAACAAATATATTTAAAGAAAAACAGAAAATTAAAAACTAAATTGGCCTTAATAGTATTTTTTTTTTTTGGAGAAAGCTATTTTTAGGTCAATGCAGAGCTCATGATAGGGTTTTCTAGACAAGATGGAGAGAGGGATAGGAGATGAGAAGCTTTCCTCTCTTTGAAAAACCTGTCTTTTGTTATTAAATTTGGCTAAGATTTCAAAAGTTCATTTTTATAAGTTTAATTCATAAACAGAAAATCAAAAACAAAACTGTTCGATCATGGCTTGCGAATCAAGCTTCCTCTTTCCATGTATTCTGGTGCTTTCTTCTTATCAATTCTCTCTACTTTAGAATAAACAAATTATCATATGGTTCTTAGGTTGCAAGGCTTTTGTTTGACATTGTCTCGGCTTCCTACTTCGAGACGTCGATTCTTTGAAGTTTTAGGAGTCCTCGAACAAGAAGCAAAGGGCGCTAGTCATGTCGGGAATAGATACGATGTAGAAGCAGCCACATAGGGATTTATTTCCATTTGTACCATTATTGTAACATTGTATTGTATCGGCCACTCTAAATTGATCATTATAACAGGTAAAATGCCATTTTTGAGCTTATTATTCTGATACCTATCCATTTAGTTCTTCATTTACTTTCTCTTTTTCCATATTTGATAGTAATGTAACAATAAACATTCTGGTTTTCTTAGTACAAAGGTCCTTTTTGTCAACTATTTGATTGATGTTTATGATTCATCTATGAAATTCTCTATTACTGAACAGAGCTAGTCACCATAGATAGCACAATAAATCTATGGAGTTTAAGCATGAACAAGAAGATAAAAAAACGCGTAAGTTGGTATGTAATAGAAAAATGTAGATAAATTTTGCAAACGGTTGGACTATAGTAAAATGTTTGAACAAATCCCGTAGCTACTTGCAATAAAATAAAATATGTTGACATAAGGAAGAACATATTGGCTAGTTATACCGTTAGCAATTGTTTGAATTTTAAGATGTTTTTTGAAAAAGTATATATATTTTTATCTTATAAATTGAGGTAATTCTAGAAGTTCCTTTTTTTATTATTATTATTAATTTATGCGGCAAATGTGGTTATTGTGGTTGGTTAAGGATCGTGGTGACTATTATCAAGAACTTTTGAAACAACAATTGAATTTTGAAAAAAATCCAAACATAGGAATAACTCTTTTCATAGGGATAACTCTTCTAATTTAATTGTACAACGAGAAAGAAAAAAAAAAGAAATGTATTGCAACTAAAAAATAGTTGTTGGTTCGTAAATAAAGAACATTTGATTGTCAGTCCCACATATGACTCTTCATCCACTAGAATAGAACAACGATTCACAAGTTTGATGGCTTTGTGGCACTTGAAGCAAGCAACATACCCACCCCCTTCTAGTGTTCTCGTCTTGATCCCATACAATTGGTATTAAAGTCATGTAACCGAACTTTTTTAAATAAAAGATATTTATTATTTTTACATAAAGAATAATAATTTTATTTTTTGTAAAAAAAAAATAATCATATTTAGATTTATTTTATTTTTCATTTAAAGTTATATATATATATTGATAATTTTACCTTCTAAATCATATTTTGAGTGAATTTCAAATCCATCCATAAAAAAAAAGTGAGGTAATGAAAAATATATAGTTAAGAATAAGAAAAAAAATACTTTTCATTTAAAGTTATAATTTAGATTTTATTTATGGTAAATTTACATTCTAAACTATCTTTCCTTATGTAAATTTCAAATCAATACATAAAAATAAAAATATGAAATAATGACAAATACATAATATTATAGTTTGAAATTTGTTACAAATTTTGTATCCACTTTATTACAATATATATTAAATTCAATTAAATTGGGCATGCATTTAAGAATTTAGAATAATGTTAGAAACATTTATTTGATTGAATTTTATTATGTAAAAATTGTAGAAAGTAAGAGCGTACTAGCTATTCAGGTGGCCAAACCGAGTATAGCTCAAATGGTTAAGGCACCTATCTCTGATCAGAAGGTCATGAGTTTGAACCCCCACCCCCACAATGTTGTACTCAAAAAAAAAAAAAAATACTAGCTATTCAGGTGAATTTTTTCAATTATTTTTCAACGTAGAATTATTAATCATATTGTGTCAACTCTTTAAATAAAGGTTGCTTATTTGTTAATTAATTAGTCGAGATTAAAGGTACAATTAACCAAGGCCCTCCATTCACTCTTGTGCCTTCATCGTGGCTAGTTCTCTCTTCCTCTTGCCTCGCCAAATTTGCCCCATATATCCTCACAAATCGTCAAATTAATGTAACAAAAATAGTTGTTTCATGGAGGGGTGTGGTCATAAAGTTTCTTAGGAATTACATCTACCCAACCTATTAGCTTACGCTTTGGGTTGGTTGAGTGGTGGTTTATTCATCCTTAAGGACCGTTTGTTTCGCGGCAATCCAAGATTCCCATGAGACGGACATTTGGATTCCTACATTTGTTTTGTTCTAATGTAAGATATCCAGGTATATCCAAATGTTCTAGTATCCTAAGATGCCATTTGGAAGGCATCCGAGTCGATTTGGATGCCCTTTTAAAATATGGGTTTCCTTGATTCCCATGTCGAAGGCATCCTATGTTGACATTTTTACCCCTTCGTTATTTTTTCATATATTTTCTTTTATCAAATTCCTTTGGTTTTTTTTTTTAATTTTATAGTTTAAATAAATTAATATACTCTACTAACTGACTAATAAGTAATTAAGTATATTTATGTATTACATGTACATATAAAATAAACTTCAATTAAATTATATAATATCTCCATTTACTTTTAATATTTGAAATGAATTATTATGAATAATATCTATTATCTTAAATACATAATTTTAAATCAACATTTTTTTAACGATTAGCTTACCTTTGATATTTTTCTTCTTAAAAGAATATGATTTGATAATATAATAAATGAATTTTACCCCATATAACATTAATTATATAATTGTATTTTTTAAAAAATAATAAAGTTGAAAATGAAATTTATATTCAATATTAATTACTTTTAAAAAAGTCTTATATTTATATGAATTCTACCTAATAACATACAAAAATTAATACATCTACACAATTAATATAAAAAAAAACCTAAAATATTAAATTAATTTAAAAAATCTATTATATAATGTAAATTATATTAGATTAATATATAAATTATATGAATACTCGTAAGGGCGTTTTTTGAACATTATATAAATTTAGAACATTCCCATGAATAAATCCTACAAAACAAATTTGGTTATTCAGATATTCCCAGACATGCTTATATATTTTCCTACGAAACAAACGTGATCATCTGAAGATGTTGAACATCTAAAATTTCGGACATCTGAAATTCCAGACATCTGAAGATGCCGAGCATCTACATTCTCGAAAAACAAATGACCCATAAAGGTTTTAGCAAAGCTCTAAAATTGAGCTGAACCAATCACGTGAAGACTATGATAAATAAGATATATAAAATATCATAACCAACAACATATATTAGGACGAGTGGATTACAAAAGTATTAAATTTCTACCATTGATATTTTTTATATCCATGAATTTGACATCAACATAAAGGATAAATCGATATTTTCATTATATCGTAAAAAATTCAATTAAGTATTAGAAAATATCAACAAAATATCATTAATATACACGTAATATTAATAATAAGAATTTAAATTTATTTAAAAAGAATAAAATGCTTATTTATTTATTTAAATATTTTTTTTATAATTTTTTAGAAATATTCGTCGTTATTGATATCTTGATAAATTCATCGATATTTCCATAAAATAGAGACCTTCGACATTTCCATTGAAATCAATATTTAAAACCTTATATACTTATATATATATATATATAACATGTGGGGTGGGGGATCGAACTCACAACCTCTTAGTTGAAGATATATGTCAATTACCGCTTAGTTTTATTCGCTTTGGCTTAAATACTCAATCATTCGCTCTTCTCTACTTTATAATTATATTATTCCGGTCAATGGTAAGGTGTGATAACCATATGGGCCTTCAAGGAAGTTACGTAGTCTCAACAAACCGTTTTGAAAAGCATGCCTTTCCATTTTTTTTCTTTGTAGTTTTAAGAATGAGAGATCAAACCATCGACTTATAGGACAGTAATAAGTATCTTTACCTACTATAAATTATGCTTAAATTGGTTTTAGACTTCTAATTTTGTGGCCTCCAAATAGTAATCATGCTTTTTCAAAACATTGAAGCTATTAGACTTGCTTTTCAAAGCTTGGTAGCCATATATTTATTTAGATTCGGGAGCTGGATATTTTATGAATGAGTTTAATAGATTTTATAATTCCTAAATATACCAGAGAAACATTTGAAAGTATTAAGATATTTATATCTTCCTTGGGGTTGAAAGTTCAAATTTCCTCCTAAAAATATATTTGAAAATATGTGAGATGAAATGATTGAGACTCATAAATATAGCGATAGTATGATGACATTCCAAGTTGAAAACGTGACATACACAAGTATATAAAATCTTCTACTTAGTCAACTTGAGGGTAATTTAACCAATCAAAGCATATATAACCAAAAGGTCACAAATTCGAATTCCTATTCTTTGTATTGAAAAAATAAAAAATACTTCTACAGTTTTATTTTTTTTAAAATTAATGTCATGAATTCTTAAGATTAAAAATGATATTACTGAAGATAAATAAACTTCTGTTATTACCCACCTTTTATTTTATACGTTTTGGCTAGGTCAAAAAAAATTAATAACCTCATTTTTTTTTTTCTTCTTCTTGAATTCAACAAGTGGGGGTGAAGGGTGAAGATTTGAGATAGATAGAAAAAATATTGTTATTAAACTTTATTTCTAGAAACTAGTAAACTAAAAGAAAATAGTTATTATTCCAATTTAAACTGTTTGACTAATTAAGACATAGTAATTAATAATTATGTCCTTTAAATTAAAAGCTTTAAGTCTAACATCCTCTTTTTCCAAAAAAAAAAGGTTCTTCCTTATGTGAAGTTAATATTCCTATTTTCTCTCACTTTTTAAGATAAACGTTGTTTAATATTTAGAGATATCATCTGGCAATTACAATAATTAATAACATGTTTTTTCCAATAATTAATATCTATATCAATGTTTAATTAATATCGCTTTGTGTAATTAATAACATGTTTTTTTCAATAATTAATATCTATATCAATGTTTAATTAATATCGTTTTGGGACAAAGCGAGTATAGTTCCGTAATTGACATATATCTCCATATAAGAAATAAGTTCGATCGCCACCCACATGTTCTACGCATCACATTTTTATTTTCTTTTAATGGGGAAATTTTGAGGGAAGGGTATTTTAAAAACAATTTAAAAATCGAGTAAGAAATGAAATTTTTTGAAATTAATGGGCATAATTGAAAAAGTTAGAGGTATTTTGTTTATGATGTAGCTTAAATTCATAATCTTTTTAGAAAAAAAAGTTCATCATCTTTTGAGAAAACGTGTGAAATTCATATGCATTGCTTACAGATCTCTTTCGTCCCTTGTTTTTCTTCTTGTCGGAGGGCCCAAAAGAAATATAAAATCCTCTTATCCTCGATGCATTGAATTCAATAATCTAAGTTCGGAGCTTTTTCTTCCGATTCCTACACTTTCCCAACTGGCACTATCAACTCTGGCTGCAGATTCCGCTTCTGAAATCAACTTTCCAACTAATGATTTGGTAAAGTCTTCTATTTCTTCGATCTCTGAATTATACATTCCCTTTTTAATCTAGAAATCAAAGCCATGTAAGTTACTGATTTTCCACGGTGGGTCTGTTTGGATCCTGAGAAAATGTGGGAAAAAACTCTATTCCTCCCACTAGATTGTTTAATATAATGGGTCGTAAGATTTTGCGAGAAGACGTTTATAAATAGGAACTTTGAATAGGTTTCTGTTTTCTACATCAGTTTGTATAAGTTCAAATCTGGGGTTACTTATGTATGTAGTATGGAAGTTTATTACAGGGTGCTCTGTGGCTGGGAGAAATTCCGTAGCAAATGAGAACTCGAAGAGGATGTTGCTGTTATTTCTTCTACTTTATCTTCTTCCTTCCTATTTTTTTGTTTCTGTTTATTCTTGGATTTATCAAAGGTACCGTTCTTTCTTTAGCTTCTCTTCTTTCAGGTTGATTTAACTTTCATGCACATATTGTTTTACTAATTTGAAAAATTATTTGCAGCTGTTGTATTCAGTCCCTTTGTATTTCTGGTGATTGCTTTTGGGGACGTTGGTATTGTCATTGGCTTATGGCCAGTTCATCTAATCTGGAGTATCATCTGTATTAAAAGGTCTTTTTCTTTTTCCTTTTTTATTGCTAGGTTGTTCAGAATTGAATGATGTTGGATACTGACTTTAATGGTTGTACTTTTAACTTATATTGAGCATGGAAAAAAAAGTTTGATTTTCTCTTATCCAAATTGGAAGCAGAACAAAGATGTTTGGCCCATTTACAAAATTCCTTCTGATTTTAATTCTTCCGATACCAATAGCAATATGGACGGTGATTGGAGTTGTTGGGAGTGTGATTATGGGTATCGGTTACGGGTTCGTGTGGCCTTTCATGGAAACATTTAGAGCTATCAGCCGAGAAGGCGTTCCTATTTATATGAGATTGATTCGATGCTTCACGGTGAAATGTTCCGTCTTTTCTTTTAATATGATATGGCTATTCTTGGTGAAGTTAATAATTTTGAGCATTCGGTTTCAAGGTTTCTTACTCTAAAGAACTTGTTGCCCTTGATATTGCCTTAATAGGATGGAACATGGAGCAACGTATGGGGAGCATGCACCATTGTGCGTGATTTTGCAGATTTTTCCTTCCATTCCTACTTCTCCATCATGGATCAGATGGTTGAGTGGAAGGGAGAGGAGCCAGTCGATATCAAGTATAGTACTGTGCAAACACAACCTTTTATGTCTACAATGGTTGCTTATATTGTCTCAATAAGTATTCTAAGTAATTCTTGCTTTGTTTGAATGATCTTCTCAATTACACCAAT